TGTCTAAAAAAAATATATATATATATTGTTAGGAGTTATAAAGAAATTCTAAATACAAGTTGTTTAAATAAATAAAAATTCTTATTCACATTTATGTCGACTTACAGGGTTTAAATGCCCAATACTCAATGTGTATTCCTCTAAAATGCCTTTAATTGGGTTTATTAAAAAAAAAATATATATATATATATCTAAAAAAATATGTCTAAAAAAAAATATATATATATTGTTAGGAGTTATAAAGAAATTCTAAATACAAGTTGTTTAAATAAATAAAAATTCTTATTCACATTTATGTCGACTTACAGGGTTTAAATGCCCAATACTCAATGTGTATTCCTCTAAAATGCCTTTAATTGGGTTTATTTAAAAAAAAAAATATATATATATATCTAAAAAAATATGTCTAGAAAAAAATATATATATATTGTTAGGAGTTATAAAGAAATTCTAAATACAAGTTGTTTAAATAAATAAAAATTCTTATTCACATTTATGTCGACTTACAGGGTTTAAATGCCCAATACTCAATGTGTATTCCTCTAAAACGCCTTTAATTGGGTTTATTTAAAAAAAAAATATATATATATATATATATCTAAAAAAATATGTCTAAAAAAAAATATATATATATTGTTAGGAGTTATAAAGAAATTCTAAATACAAGTTGTTTAAAAAAATAAAAATTCTTATTCACATTTATGTCGACTTACAGGGTTTAAATGCCCAATACTCAATGTGTATTCCTCTAAAACGCCTTTAATTTGGTTTATTTAAAAATATATATATATATCTAAAAAAATATATCTCAAAAAAAAATATATATATATTGTTAGGAGTTATAAAAAAATTCTAAATGAACGTTTTGTGATAATTTGATCATTGAATAAAGAAGAAAAAATATAAAAATGCTTATCTAAGTGGAAAATGAATCTACGGAAATAATAGTCACAAGATATACGTATAATACATCGTTGGAAAGCGGAGAATTTCAGCAATAATATAAAATTTAAAAAAAGTATATATACTTGTAGAAGATAACGGAGAGTAACGAATAAAATATAAATAATAATTTCTGAAAAATAACTTTAATTACCGCAAATCACATGTTTCCACCAATCAAGGCAGTGCCATTGCAATAAAAAATAAAAATACCCACAATGAAATTTAAATAAATATAACCTTATATTTAAATAAATATAGTCTATAATATGTACTTTCGCTTCCCCTTTGTCTGAAAATACTTATTTCGCTAGGAAGAGTAAGTGAAATTCGTGTGATGCGCGCACCAGATTTTTACTTTCACTTACGTATATATGAAATCTCAGTTTTCAACGGAAATACGTGTTTTGAGGTCCCCTCAGTCCAAATAACCAAGTGTCGCAAAATGGTCTCTGTGTGTGTGTTTGTGTTAACAGTCTAGCTCATAAACGAAAAGTAGTACGAAACTGATATCAAGTATTTGAGGTTTTTTATATGGGCCGGATATGACAGCAACTTTTTCGTTAAAATCGGCTAACCGGAAGTGCCACTTAATATGAACGCTGAAACACATTTTTACAATTTTCTCAAAAACGGCTCTAACGATTTTGATTAAAGTCGGTGTATCATTGTATAATTAAGTGGTCTTTAATATCATTTAGTCCTTATCCCTATTGATGTCACTTTACAGGGCTTAAATTCCCAATGTTCATATGCGTCTTCCTCTAAAGTACCTTTAATATGGTTTATTTTAAATAATCAATTATCTCTCATTTTTAAAAGTTATGAAAAAATGCTAAATATAACTTTTTAATGAATTTAATGATTGAATAAAGGAGAAAAAAAATAAAAATGCTTATCCAGGTCGAAAATGAATCTCTGGAAATACCAGTCCGAAGATATACGTATAATATATCGTTGCAAAGCGGAGAATTTTACAAAAAACAATATCGAACATAGATCGTTGTAAAAGGAAACGGAGATTGGCAAAAAAAAATTATAAATAATATTTTTTGAAAACTAATAATATTTAACGTAAACCACATGTTTTCAAGGAAATTAAATGAAATTTACTAACTAAATGCAACCTTTTAAAATATTTTTAAGATTGAAAGAAATATTTAAAATCCACCTAATAAAGGCAACGACATTGTTTAAATAACTATTCCATTGTACTTGTGTGAAAGAAGGAGATATCTTTATAACCTTAAATATATTTACTGTAGTTTAATAATTTTATTACAATCCATAATCAATTGATCGTACAATCCATAATCAACTGGTGATATAATAAATAGGACTTTTGTTATTTTAATGGTATTTATGATTTGTTAGCTGTAATTTTTTAGCTTCAGCTCAGTTAAAGATGCAATTCAAAAATTTTATAATAGCCCGATATGGCCAAAAATAATTTCTATTCAAAGTTGAGCGATAAGTGGAAGTTGTGTGTTGCCCTTTTTTTTATATATATATAACCCTAAAGTCATCGAGGTGAATGTTTATTTTGCCTAATGCCGCATTACGTACGTCTTGAGACCTGAGGTAGCGACGAAGTATCAAATATTTGAGGTTGACTGTACACAGCGGAACGCCCGAGTCATCTACCTGACAACAAACTTTCTATTAGGTGTACTGTTACGGTACCTGTTAGGAAAGGAAGGAAGGAGAGAGGCTTAGATCTAGCAGAGATAAGAGATAGCGACACAAATACCTGCAAAAAGCCTTAACTTATACTGTTACGATCTTTAATTCAGAAAAATTGCTTTCACAATAAACTTGTCGGATGCTCAGTAGAGACGGCAGGGTTCGCAAAAAAAAAAAAAAACAATCAAGAGTCAATTAAATATTAATAACTATCTAACGAGCGCCACGCTATTTAATTTGTAGAATTTGGAAAATATCGAAAACAAAAAAAATAAAAAAATTAATTTAAAAAAAAAGATTAGGACGAGGAGTGAGCTACGAACTCCTAACCTATGGGTTTAAAAACATATGTTAATTAACCTCATAACCTATCGAACCTTCTTACTTGGTTAATAATGACTTCTCCTAATCCCTCGAATAGGGTTTTACAATTCCTTATTAAACCTTAAAAAAAATATGATATATACATAATATGTGAAAACAAATTGTAGAAAAATAAGAAAATAAAACTGGCTATTATTAATACTAATGATCAATTTACTTATTTCTATTGATTTAAATAACTGTTAAAGGAAACGAAAATTATGAATAATAAATTATAATTACAAGAAAACAAATAAAATATCATTAACTTTAATTATCAACAAGAAAAATATAAAATTAGTATAGAACTAAACATTAACTTAGACTATACAATAAACCAATTACAAATATTTGGGGGGAGGGAGAAAAATAGATAGGAAATAAAAACTTATATATACATATTTACAAAATCTCTACTCCGAACTTTGTCCAATTGGCACATTGAGTTATCTAAGCAAGCGGGAACTTATTCGAGCTAGCTTCGTCAGGGTCTCATCAATTTATCTTCTCAAGCTTTGAAAATGTTCATTCACCAATTTGAAAAATCAAACGGCACTCGTCGCTGATAATCACAGGTTCATGGATATTAAAAGAAAATCCGGTGTACACCGTAAAACTAAAGTATTTCACACACAAAAATCCTTAGCGTGCCTCTACACTCACGAGGTTCCGCCATCTCTCTCTCAACTCTCTTTTGTTTTCCTCCCAATCACCTGGTTATTCCAATCCGAAATAAAATGAATACTTAAAACTAATACTTATTATTAAAACTAATAGTAAATACTTAATTTTATATTTAGCTCTCTTCGAGTTAATAAAAAAAAACTAACAATTATTTTACGAACTAATTTTTTTTTTGTATTTTATTTTTCGTCACAATACCTGTGAAGCCAGGCTAGTTTAAAGAATATTATGTCAGTAATTAAAGGATCGAAACGGGAAATCCATAGCAAAATATGTGAGAAAAGTTTTTATTTTTTCAACTTGTATATATGGGTTTAGACATGTTAAAAATAAAATTGCTTACGCGGGCCACCAAGGGAAAACTTTTTACAGCCAAAATAATCAGATTTTTTTCGAAATTTTTTTTGTTTTTTTCATCTATAACTTCTAAATGAAGCATCAAAGCGAAAAATGTACTCTTAATAGAAGAGTGCTCCTGACTCTTCTATTAAAGCATTCAGAAAAGAGCTCTTTAATTTGTACAAATAATACAAAATAAACAAAAAAATATATACTTTTTGAGTAATTCTTGCGTACCTCGTAACTTTTTTTCCAGATTCATTTCTCGGGAAGTAAGTCACGTACAAAAATTTAAAAGTCTTTGAAGAGAATATTTTAGGCTACTTTCGTTAACGTCGTTACATCTGTTCAGGCGTTAGTAAACAGCGATACATGTTTTTCGACAGCCATTTTGAAAATAAAGGGCAGATGCTAATATTGAGCCCGGAGAATCATTTTCAGATGAACTCTTACTTTGATTTCAAATTTCAAAATAATCGGCCCAATAGCCTCAGAGAAAATCGGCAGACAGTGGACACACACACACACACATACATATATGTAATTGCATTTTGGCATTCTAAGTATCAAGAAACGTAAAACGATTTTGAAAAAAAGATTTCTTTTAATTTGTTGGTTGATTTCAAAGGTTCATTATTGAATTGAATATAATAAACCAAAAGATGCTAGAAGTTTTATTTATTTCCAAAATGACTATTTTTGTCATCCTGCCCTGTCATATATCCTGCAATAATGAAGTATATATTTGTTATAGAATAGTTAACATTTTTTTGTTATGTTTTTTTTTATTAAATAACTATTATATATATATATATATATATATATATATATATATATATATATATTATATATATATTTGTATGAACTGTCAATTACAATGGAAATTAGGAAAGGTGACTGCAATGAGCAGTCGTTGAGTAAGAGCACGATAACTCAAATAAATAACTCAGGACATCAGCGGAAGATCAAACCACTGACAGGAATACTGTTCAGTTTCCAAACGATCTCTGGGCCATCTCCTTTTAAATCCAGTTTAAAAGATTCAATCTGTCCTTAAATAACTGCCTTGCCCATAGCTTCTGCTTCTTTCGCCCTCTCCATGGCCAGTTCGACCGCCTTCTGCCTCCTTCTTCCGAGTGGTGTCTTCGACAGCCAGCTGAGGAACTCTTCCTCCTCTTCTCGGTAGATCGGCTCCTTCTTGCAGAGGACCGCAACCAATTCTGCGTGCGTCAACTGTTGGAGTCGCAGCTGGAGTATCCTCTTGCAAGTGAATACCTAGTCGCACAACATTCGTTAATTAATTAACGATGAAATAACTTATATAAAATAATATAATAGTGTGATATATATAAGAATATTGGACAAAGGTTTAGTCCGTGATATAGACCTCTTTTTATCACATTATTAACATCGTAAATACCTTCATCTCATCGTAATCTACAAAAATTATATTTACAAAAATTCTCGGAATTGGGGCGTTTTCGATCTGGAGGTCGATAAACTTTGTCTATTTAATTAGGAACTAAAAACTCTTAAAAACTCATTTTTTTTTTTTGCACTAAGATCGTAAGATAATTTGATCACAAAATCGAAAAAAAAGGTGTCCTACAAAAATATTAGTTCGTTTGGCCTATGAAACCTCAGTTATTTTGACAATTCGGAAGTGTAGGTCACCTCAAACGGCTCAATATTTTTCAATTTTTCAATATGTTAGGATTCAAGTGGAAAGCAAATGGGTACTTACGAGTGTTTGGTCCCTAATTAAATAAACAAAGTTTTCTGATCCCCAGATTGAAAACGCCCCAATTCCAAGAATTTTCGTAAAAATAATATTTCTAGTTTACGAGATGAAGTACCATGGACTATTTAGTTTTTTTTATAAATCTATACTATATATCACGCCTTATTATCAATTTATATTATTAAGTAATTCTAATTATTCGTGTTGCCAATTTGTAACCATGATATATATTCAAATTTTCCAGCTTCATATAAGCCCAACAATAATTTGAGCCTTTTGTTTCTCATATTTTCATTATTCGTTATATTGTGCTTCCTTTTCTATTTCATAATAATTATAATTATACCGCAATGTAATATAAATAATATTATATATATAATATAATAATTAATATATTGGATTTAAAGGGAAATGTCTAAATCGAAAAATAACTGCTAAAACCAAACTACCACCTCCAGATGAATAAATACAATTTACCGTACAAATTTTTAGTCTAAAATCTTTATTTTGTATTCGGAGAGTGTTAGATAACAGGAGCTCAACAAATGTGTAATTAAATGAACAGCTGTGTAAGTAGCTAATAGAAGCTAGAAACTAGGAGGTAATACGGGAGCTCCTATAACCTCTTACTCTCCTAATACTAAAATAAAATATGACATACACTAAAAACTTTTTTATAAAATAAAGAGATAACAAATATTACCGCTTGTAAATGAAATAAGAAACGGATTGTGGTGTTTCCTAAAAGGAAAAATGAGAGATGTAAAGCCAGGAAATTTAAAAATATATATTCTAAGAAATCAATTATTGAAGGTAGGGTTATTTCCTGTATTTTTTTAAATAGAAAATTATCTTGGAATTTCTTTTTCAATAGGTGATAATAGCTTCTTTTTTACTTTCCTAGCTATACTAGGTAAGGAAAGTATTGCAATCGGGTCAAATTTCCGACATGCGGTTTTCGACGGATACCGTCTACTATACTATCGACTATACCTTTCACATCCCCCTGAGTCCGAAAAACACATTTTTAGCCATTGGTCTGTCTGTCTGTCTGTGCCAAGATTTTCTCGGGAACTATTGAACCAATTTTGTTGCTTATTTTTTTTATTTTGTAGAATTTTTACTACTGGTGCTGCTGGTGACAGAAATCCGTTACTCCATGCGCAATAACATTCGCGCAATAAATGAAAATCATGTTTTTCTATAGGCTGTAGCTCGAAAACGGCTCTAACTATTTTGATGAAACTTTCCTATGATGTTCAATTTTCGTATATAGACTAAATTCCCTGAGTCCGCCGTTAAGCCTATCGTTTGAAATGTAATGAAATTCCCAACAAAGCCAAATAAAAATCGTTAATTTTGGACAACTATTAACGAAGTTACAGTTACTCAATTTCCAATGAAAGATTACGAGTTCATTTCCTGATGTCAGAAAGGGATGAATGAGAGAATAAAGATGACTAAGCGAAAGTAAGAAAATCTGTTGCCCGCATCATACAAGCTTCACTATTTTCTCTACTATTAACAGAAATTATTGTTTGACAATACTAAGCTATGGAAAAACGTTTTTGATCAGCAATATTACTGAGTATTGAAATGTTTACACTGATCTACCTTAAGTCTGTTTCTTTGCTTTAGTTTATCAAATAAATCGTACTCAAATTGTTTGTTCATAAACATATGTAAAGATATAAAAACTTTTCTGAAATAGGTAGGAAAGTTGTGTGAGTGGACACACCAGATTTTTCTAAATATAATTGAAATAATCTAAATATGTAATTGCAGGTATTTATTAGCAAATAATCCAAATCAAAATTAGCTACTTGTTGGTTAGTGTCGCCCAAATGCGAGACCGAAACGAGTCTTGGTCTTGCAAACTCTGTCTTGGTTATGGTCATGGTCTTGCGCAACAGGCTTGCAGTTACTTTTTACGATAGAGATATTACTGTAATTTTATACATAGGAGAAATCTAACTAATCCCAAATGAAAAATTAGAGGAGTTAAATGCAAAAGTATATTGTTTATACCAATTATTAACATATAGTAACTAAGATTGTCAAGCATTTGTAACTATTTTGTCTTAATTTTTATTAAAAAATCGATTTTTTTTTATTAGTATTGGTCTTGGTCTTGTAACAGTTAGGCGGCCTTGGTCTTGGTCAAGGCTCATATATGCCTCTAGAGGCTTAAAAGTACATTCGTATATTTAACCAATAAATGATTATGGATTGTACGACTATTATTAAACATATTTTGATTTAAATTTTACTAAAATGAAATTACGAGATTTTTATTGCCTGCCATGGATAGTTCAAAAGTTGCCACACTAATTGTAACTTAATGATGCTGTTATTTCACTAAGGGAAAATTCATGAAATTATTCACTTATTTAATTTTCGAAAAGATTACATGATTATTTTTTGGAATAAACCGACACGTAATTATTTTAATATAATATCAGATCTAGAATTATTAAACTACAGTAAATGTATTTAAGGTTATAAACATATGCTTTATACATCCATGAAATATTTTTCACTTCTCCTTTCACACAAGGACAATGAAATAGTTAACGTAACAACAGCATTGCCTTGATTGGTGGAAACATTTTGATTTACGTTAAATAAAGTTATTTTTCAGAAATTATTATTTATATTTTATTCGTCACTCTCCGTTATCTTCTACAAGTATATATACTTTTTTTTAATTTTATATTATTGCTGAAATTCTCCGCTTTCCAACGATGTATTAGATTTCCGGAGATTCATTTTCGACTTGTATAAGACTTTTTCATAAATGGTAATTGGTTGACTGTCGTGGATAATGAAGAGAAGAATAGTTGGGGTGGTCAGTCAAAAAGGAAGGCAAAAATAAATGATAATATTTATATTTTACATATGCCGACGTTTCGACCTGAAGTTCAGGCCTTCATCATTTCTTTTTTATGTTTTACATTTTATTCTAAGATTCCCATTGTAACACTTATGTCACCCTTTTTGATTATGCCTACTTCATCATTCCACACTTTGTAACGGTTATTATTATTTATCTCTTAGTTCTTAGTCATTATTCTAACAATTTCATTTTACTTTATATTTATTTTTTTATAATTTTTTATTTATTTATTTTTTTACCATCACTACTTATGTTTCTGATACCTTGTTATCTGGTTATTTTCTTAGCCCTGATGAAGGCCTGAACTTCAGGTCGAAACGTCGGCATATGTAAAAATAAATATCATCATTTATTTTTGCCTTCTTTTTTGACTGACCACCCCAACTATTCTTCTCTTCATAAGAATTTTTCTTTTTTTTCTTCTTTATTCAATGATCAAATTATTTCAAAACTTTTATTTAGAATTTTTTTATAACTACTAACAATATATATATATATATTTAAATAATCCCAATTAAAGGCATTTTAGAGGTAAACACATTGAGTATCACCTCAATCACCAATTAAATCGATCCGAGGGGGTATTATCGATACTATTAATAACCGTGTTATCAATATCGGTAACTGTACTATTTGTCTTCAGTATCTTGTGGCCACTTCTTTGTCTATGCTTATCAGGACATGTGCCTACTGAATCAGTAATACACTGTAGATCGTAATTCACAAGAAGATCATATACAAATCATACAAGTTTGCAAAGTAGTTATAATATAATAATCGTTGAAAATAATATATAGTTCCTGAAATCAACGCTGAACTCATTATTGGACATCGGAAATTCATTAGTATATTCATCTATTGAAAAAAGACTTGAATTATTGTTAGGGTTATATGAAGCTGGACAAGTTGAAAATATATTATGGTTACAATTTGTCAATAAGAATAATTATAATAATATAAATTGCAAATAACGCGTGATGTATAATATAGATTTTAAATGAACTTAAAAATTTGTCCTAATTGTGGTTTCGTTCAGGTTATTTTATGTTGATAAACATTAATTCAATCTGAACTGCATTATACATGTAAATTATATTTATACAATTTGAGAAACGAGTAATATAATTAAATGAATAGTTGTCTAATTTGTAAAATCGGGGTTGGTTGGCGTACTCCCTTAGTCAATATAAAAATTAAAGTTGTCTACATTAGTAGCCTCAATGAAACATAAATAAATATAACGGCCATCTTTATCAGTGACACTCTAATCGGACTAAAAATATTTCGTAGTCCTTAATTATTTATTATAATAAAATAAATAATTAAAATGTACAGGCATGAAAGGAAATGATTAGTGTACAAAAAAAAGTGTACATATAATAAATTGGATGGCTGTGGAAAACATGGAAATTAATTGTTTTAAATAATAATTTTCATCCATTATAATTTATACTTTCACTATCCTTTTTTCTTAAAATACATATACTATTTCTGCTAAAAAGAATGATGGTAATTGAAAGTTGAGTGATCCGCGCACAGAGCCAGATTTTTTTTTTTTTTCATGTATTGTATACCGTTACAAGATTGATGACCTTTTGCTGGAATCCAGCAGGTCGGTCCTAAATTCATCAATTTAATAATATTCTCAGTGATTACTCATATACTCTAAAGCTGTTAACTTCTATTCACTCTGTAAGGTATATATGTTAGTAATAACACGCTATATAGCTATTATTAATAGGTCATTGTATAATTACGACCCGTTAACACTGTAATATGCAACTCGTGCAATAATCATTAGCTCACTACATTAACAAGTGGTATAATTACATCACTGACCTGATGTACTCCTCTCTCTGATGCAATATCCTTAAGATGGTCATAGTTCCTCCCGTTAAGTCTTTACAATTAGTCTAAGAAAACCTTTATTCATTCATCGCTATATCCGACATTAACATTGAATTTACACTCGTCTGACTAAAATAGATCCGTTATTTATCTTCACAATTAAACTCCATTTTGATTACGTTATAAAAATTTTGAATCGTCCAACACATAGGTAACCAAAAATATTAGCACTACAGATAATTAAAAAAGAAATCGCATGATTTAGGGACTTACATAATCTGATAGAACTGCATGGATTAAATTTCAACTTAAATCGGTCTAAATGTGATGATGTTAATCTATGGAGAGCTAATTTATATTCACTAAAAACTCAAATTGAGATCGATATGTAATTAAAGTTCAGAATTCTAAAACTTTCACTTTTTATCCTCATTTAACTTCAATAAATTATATTGATGACAAAAGCTCATTGAAGGTGATCAGATGGGTAATTAAAATCAGAGCTGATGTTTTGAACTTAAATTATAAACACTTCCAGCAAACAAATAATAATTGTAGCATGTGTAATAAAAACGAAACAGAAGATCTCTATCACTTCCTGGCTGCTTGTCCGATACTCTCTGAATTTAGAATTAAATGGTTAAAGTTTAGAAATTTATCTCGGGATCAAGTAATAGATTTAATAAATGGAAACAATTGGATAGCATTAATAAATTACTGCAAGTCTCCTTTCTTCTATAGAAAAATACTCACCAAAGAATTTAACAATTAATAAATTGGAGAATTTCGGTACCGCTCTTTTTGTAATTAAAATATTTACATAACTTTATATAGTAAATATAATTGTTCTTATTTTCTTATTAATTAGTTGTATATAAATAGATTGAAATATAATTTTGTTATAAAACACAGATTCCTCTGACAGTCAACAGACCATGTAGCACGTCTGATTTTCGGTTTTAAATCCAAAAATATTATTTTGTAATTTTGATAAATAAAAAGACTTTTTCTTCTTCTTCTCTCTTCTGCACTCGTCTGCTAGCGCAAAACAGGGACTATACAAATAGCGCCCATTTATAGGAGAAATCCAAATACGTAAAAATTGCATACTGTGACGGTGATTTCTTCTGATAAAACATAAAACTGTGCACCACCCAGATGTAAAAAAATGTTATCTACCGAAATTGATAGAAGATAAACTGGCGTACAACATTCACAATCCGATTTTTTTTTCCGATAAGGATCAAGGAATATCAATTAAACATAAAAAATATGTGTACAGGGTGTTTCATGGTTAAGTTGCCAAACTGAAAATATGAATTAAGGACCTCAAAACAAGAAAACAATTTCCTCTGAAGGCGCAAACGCTTTGTTTAGGAGATATTTATACCTAAATATTTTCGTTGTTATGAATTAATTATGTTATTTAAAATAAATAAAACATGTGTATTTTTTCTAACTGCGTTATTAATTAAACTTAAAACATTAAATTTATATTAAATGTTGTTCAAAGTCCTTGAGCATTAAGACATGCTCGGTATCTTTCTTTAACATCAGCAGTGGCAGAACGTCACTAGATATGTGTTATTGTTTCATAAGATATAATTATCCTTGTTCGTAAGGAATTTAGGTCATTGACCGGACTTCCATAGACTTTTTGATTAATATTATCAACCAAACGTTACCATTGCAATAACCGTATACAACCACCATATTCACCATTAGTATAAATGGAAGGCATAATGATGAGTATTCTGCGAAAGCCCCTTACAAACTGATAAATGTTATTGAGAGTTCCCAATGCCAATTCCAAATAGTAGTAATCCTTATGTAGCCAATAGTTTTTATACAGTTAAGGATAAAAGGAAATATTAGTATTCTATCTAATCCATCTCCTAAACAAAGCGTTTGCGGGCATACCTTAACTTTGAACAACATTTAATATGAATGTTAATTTTTACATTTAATTAATAAAGCAGTTAGAAAAAATAAATTCTTTGTTTTCTCGTACCTTTGTTTCCGCTGTAAGTAAAGCTTAAAGAAGAAACTGTACCACTACAACCCATGAAGGTTCTAGGGTTCAATACTATATAGGGAGCGTACTGTTTCTTGGTCAACGGTTGTGGAAGAAACTGATTTGACTGAGATCATGCTTAACCGCCAGGTTTTCCTCTTAATTAATTATTTGATTATGGATGACCACTTTATAAAGGCTAGGTGTGCCCCAGGAGGGTCTTCTGACCCAGGGTCGCCTCATGGCAGATGGAACAGAACAAATATTTTATTAATTGTGGGTAAATGGTTTACTGTCGTGAATAATGAAGAGAAGAATAGTTGGGGTGATCAGTCAAATAAGAAGGCAAAATAAATGATATTTATTTTGACATTTGCCGACGTTTCGACCTGAAGTTCAGGCTAAGAAAAGAACCAGATAACAAGGTATGAGAAACATAAGCAGTGTAGATAAAAAAAATAAAGTAAAATGAAGTTGTTAGAATAAGGACAATAGTAAGAACTAAGAGCTAAATAATAATAACCGTTACAAAGTTTGGAATCATGAAGTAAACATAATCAAAAAAGGTGACATAAGTATTAAAATGGGAATCTTAGAATAATATGTAAAACAGAAAAAAGGAATATGAAGTTATATAAGAAATGAAAATAAATAGTAAAATTAAGATATTGCGAATAGAATAGTTAGATAGAAAATTGAGATATTGTAAAGTCTATCAAGATGTACGAACAACGTATACTGTAATAAAGAGTTAAAACAGAGAAAAAGGATGAAAGGAAAGAGGAAAGAAACTGAGAAGGCTGAAATAAGAAAGAGAAAAAAGAAAACAAACCTGTTTCCCAAAGTGTAACGGAGAAATGAGTATCGTAGCAAGGGAGGGGGGAGAGAATATAAATTCATAGATATTTTTTCCTGCGATGAGCTAAGATTCGAACCTGGGACCTAGCGGATTTGAAGATTAGGGTCCTACCACTGTGCTACCCTACTCCCTTATAAACTTAATTAGGAGGTTAGAAATATGTAGTATGAAATTTTCAATGTTCCTTTTCCCTTGGGATATCCATAACCTCTCTCGCCAAATCGACATCCCCGCTTCGTACCCTTCATCATCGGGATCTTTTACTCACGTCCTTTATGGCCGAGAGGATGGCGCCCACCGTGAAGCCGTCCGACAGCCTGGCCAAGGAAGAGGTGTTGAACTGGCGGTTGAGACCGGAGTATTGGAACAGCTGATCCGCCCAGATCCTGCTCAGGCTGCCGTAGTCCGTCCTCGGGATGTAGATCGTCTTCTGGTAGGCCTGGAAGAGCAACTTCTGGTCGGCCTCCCAGGGCAGTCTGGTCGTCCCGATCAGCATCACCTCAACAAAAAATGTCCTATACTCACATGCATTGTTACATAAAATATATTAGAAACATATGATTACTTTTCTATTTTTTTTATTTAACCAGAATGTGCCTCGGAAAAGCGTGGACCGGTACAGCTAGTTAACGAATATATTCGTACAATTAAATGAGAGGTAAGATTAATTGATTGAGATTAAAACTGATTTTAAATATTTATTTTTTTAGTTACGGCGTAGTTGTGTGATATGAGCAAGTATGTACTGATATACCTGGTCCTCTGGCCCAATGCTTTTGACAAGTTTAGCGAGATCTTTCTTCAACCTCTTTGGATCCGTCTTGTCAGTCTTGGCAACTTTCTTCATGAACGTCTTCTCGGCTCCTTCGATGAATATTATAGACGGTTGGAGAAGCCTAGTGGAATATATTTACAGTTAATGAACTATTTAAACAGACATTTAAGAATAATAATATTAAACTTATTTTTTTTTAAATACAGCATTTAGGTTGTTCCATTAGTTTAGCTGGCGAAGAATGAGAGGGCTGAGATTTAATCCCTGCATCACAAAAACTGTTGAGCAAGGATATGAAATTCTGCCACATCCGCTCTACTCCCTAGAGCTCTCGCCTACGAATTATCATTTTTTTAGACACCTGGACCACTGCTTAAGTGACAAAAAATTCAATGGACAAATGAAATTACAAAATGCGTTTTTGGAAGTTATGATTCTAAAGATGGAAAATTCTTTTCCGAGGGAATGGAAAAGTTGCCAATACGTTGGCTGAAATGTATTGATAGTAGTGGAAAATATTTTGATAAAAGAAAACTGTTGTAAATCCTTTTTTAAACATCATGCATTATTTTCCAGACTACCCAATATAGAATAGAATTGAATATAAACTTTATTCTGGGACGATGTCCCATTAGAATAACAATAATGTACAGTTACAAAAGAAACAAAATACACATCTGGCCAAAAATTAACTCAATAAAGATTCAAACAATATATACAACTTGAATAATAGTATATAAATTACTAAAAAATAAAATAAAATCTTCTCAACTATATTTATAATTTTACTGGAAAAAAATAACAAAAAGAAAAGAAAAAAGAATTACAAGTATTGAAAAAAAAAAAGCAATAGAAAGATATATATGTATACATATTGAGAAATGTAAAAAAAGAAATACGTCTAAAATATACACAATCTTGTAGATGGAAAAATGGATAAAAACAACAAACAATCTCTTATTCTTTATGTATCACCTCACAGTGCTATGCCAAAAGTGATACTGAATCTTTCCAGTTCACAATTAATTAACAAAAAATAAAATAAAACGGTGGTATATGAAAAAAAAAATTATCCTTGCTGCATGATACATAATTAACCAGCGTCCGATTGGATTGTGAAGAGGTGGAGGAGAATTCCAAAAGGTGGAGGAGCTGATAATAAAGGAATATTGGAATGAAGCAGATCTATGGAAGGAGGTGTAAAGGTTACAAGGCCGAGATCTAGTGGAGAGGGAGTGGACAGATGATTTAAATTGTTTATTTTAACGATGTTTGTCGATTATTTGATAAAGGAATTTGCCAAGGAAGTATTGTCTTCTGAAGGAGGGGAAGAGTCACCTTAACTGGGCTTAGTAGTGAGGAACACGGGAACGTCTCGGGATCCCTTCGACAAATCTTACCAAGCTATTCATAATTCTTTTTAGTCTGTCCCCGAGTTCCACCGAGAGGCCGCCGTAAAACACTCAGCCGAAGCCAAGGTGGGGGAAGACGAGGGAGGATACTAGGAGTCTACGTGTGGGTAAAGGAAGGATATGAAATAGTTTAATGGTACAAATTGACCGTAATACAAATACATTACCAATATTACAGTTGAAAAGACTCCTCCTCACCTGGAAACCTTGGAGACCAGGTGCAAGAGCATGATGAGCCCGGACTTGCCAGGGTACTTGCCGACGATGTTGGCCGGGGAGAGGTCGAAGAGGGTGGCGCCCAGCTCGGTGCAGCAGGCGTGCACCAGGTGCTTCTTCCCGGACTGCGATGGCCCTGCGACCAGCAGCGACCTGACCAGCGGCGTGCCGCGCCGCACGCGGCCCATGCCCAGCGGCAGCACCACGTACTCCATCACGATCTGCAAGCACAGGTCAGGCACATCAGGGGAAACTCAGAGGAATATATATATATATATATATATACAATGAAATATAATTTTTGAATATTTAATAGTTGACCGTTGCATAATAAAGGAAGGAGATGGTCCGGGGTGGCGGTCATAAATAGGCTAAATAGTGGTAAAACTATTTTATTAAAAGCCGACGTTTCGACCCGATTTTGCAGGTCTTCTTCAGGGCTAGAACGGACAAGATACAAAAAGATAGAGAATTGTAGCAGTTACATAATATTTAAATTATTATGTATAATTTTAATATAAAAATTATAAACAATGTGAATAAGATTATTGAAATTATAAACAGTAAGTACATTAAAATATGAACAGACTAAGCTAAGTAACAAGATCCTAAACTGAATAGATTCTAACAATTGTTGTAGTGTAATATATAATAAATGCAATTGTGAATATAATTCTACAGATCTACAGGAGAGATTGAAAGAAAAGGAAAAAGGATATAATATGAAATAATAGACAAGAAGGCGCTGTAAATAAGTATAAATTTTTTTTTTTTTTTTTTTTTTTTTTTTATATATGTAATGTTGTCCCATGTTTGATTTATTATGTTATTCCATGTTTTCTTTTCTTTTTTTTCTTTTTTTATTGTATATATGGTATGATTGTTTCATACATCCCAAATACTCAATGCCCTTAATTGAGGCAAAATGTATTTATTTTTTCTCAATAAAAAGAATTATACTAAAAAAAAAAAAGTATTAAGAGAGTGAATAAAGGAGCGCAGAGTAAGGAGTTCTAGGATGTAGGGAGGGTTTTTGGTTCTGAAGACTTGGAAAAGGATAAAAAATAAGAAGGAATTGTCTTCGGGAAGTAAGATAAAGCCACTTCAAATCGGTGTGCCAACAAGAAACATGTGAAAAGATTAGACTGTTAACTCACTTGGCGAATGTCTCCGAGACCAGGTTGTGGGTCTTTGCCGTCCTGCCTCTGTGCCAGGTTAGCGCAGGCTCTTTCCCCGATGAAGCTCGACATGTAGACCTCAGGGTATTTACGAATAATACCTAAAAAAAAAAAAAAGTTATTATACTTCTGGCAGGATTGGCAATTAGGTGAGAAATTATTTTGTGCTTACAAAAAAAAATACTAAGTTGTTTATAAAACGGGTTTTTGCTAAACGGGTGATTAAGGATAACGATAGGAGGGTTCGTGCGAGTCTGGGGTGCACATCCTCCACAAGGTCGACGGCGCATGAATCGCCCCCCCTTCATTTTATTTTTATTTCTTTTTTTCTCTACTCTTCTTAAAAACAGTACAAGCGAAAGTAGGATTAGACAAATCGTAGATGATATACAATTATACGCTTCTCTCTTAGTTCTCTGTTTTGAAACTTTTCAATCAGAAAATTCATAGCCTTGTCGAAATGCCCTCAAAAATTTTGATGTGCTTTGGAAATGCTCGGAAAATGATTTCCTTTTATTTTTAGAAGACATATGTCATAGCTGATATTTTCTAGACCTGATAACAACTACCATTCTTCAAGAGGTTTCGATGGAACCACTAGCGGATTCAGGATTTAATTTTTTTTGGAGGGGGCTTCAGCCCGAAAGATTTTTTTTCATGTATAAAACGATAATTAATTTTTTTTAAAAAGAAGAAAGAAATGAACTACCTATATGAAATAGTGTCTAAGTGGTTCTTGAAGTTTTATTAAATATAATTACACGAACAATAATACTTTAAGAGATAGTTTTTAATATTTTTTTCTATAAAACATGGTTATATTTTACCGTAATATTTTCAGACTATGTAGACAAGGAAAAAAAAAACATTCCAGGAAATAAAAGAGAAATTTTAATTGCAGCTAAGAAGCGATTATGAGAGACTTAAGTCAGAGAATATCTTCCCTATGAGTGTCGATACTGAGGAGGAGGAAATCAATTAAATTATTTTCTTCACAATATTTTTCTTTTGTTTATTCTTAGTTATTTGGCAATGATTACTTCCAATTAGCAACAATTGAATATATTTTTTATATTATCAAAATTGCATGTTTACAAGTTTACGTTTCGGGATATTTACTCCCATCTTCAGAACCACAATCCCAATGATCTTGTGGATACAAGGCTAAAAAATTGTTTGAGTTAAAATATAGTGCATGTTACAATACATGTCAGAATTTTGTTTTTACAATAAATTTGTAATTACCTTAAAACTAATGTATTACATCGTCAGTTTCTAATTCATGTTATAATAAATCTAGGTATATAACATCTAGAGCAACATCTTGCTTTTAGACTAATTATTGGGTGTCTGCCAATACAATTGACCTTTGGATATGACTGTTTATTTTTATACTATTGCTGTTAATGTTTATTTTATGTATCTGCAATTTACTTTTATTTATGTTATTGTTATTTTTTTTCTCTGGAAGTTCTCTGAAACTATGTATATATATATTTACATATTTACGATACATTAATGTTATATTAAGTAGTTTAAACCATCAAAATGTTATTATTTATTTATTTGTGACGAACACGAGATTTCCAATCGAAAAATATTGTTATTATATACAATACATTTTTTTTCTAGGAAATACATATTTTTTTATTTTATTTTTTGTATTTTTACCATAAATTATTGTTATTTTTAATCATTTTAACCATCAGAGTCTCTTTTATTTATTTGTGACTAATAAACATTATCCAATCGAAAATTAAGGTCATCATATTTAGTCAATTTTTTTTCACTATTTTTGGAAAAATTCTAGTGATTTTTTATTTTTGTTGTATTTTTAGCATAAATTAATATTATATTAAATAAATCTAAACCATAACGGTCTTATGTATATTTATTTGTGACAAATGCGTGATTTCCAGTCGAAAATTATGGTTAATGAATTTGTTCATCTCTGTGTAACGTCTAGCGACACTAATGGATCCAGGATTTAATTTTTTTTTTTTTAGTGGTGCCTTCAGCCCAAAATATTTTTTTTTGTATAAATATATTAGGATAATTACTTCGGAAGAAAGATAGAAACTAACTACCTATATGAAATGTTATTTAAGTGTTTCTTTAACTACTCATAAATGTAATTAGACGAACAATAATATTTTAAAGACAATTTTATTCATTAAATATTGTTATATTTTATTATTTGGGGGGGCTTCAACCCGAAAGCACCTCTCCTCTCCCTCTCTCGTAGATCAGTCTGCGGCTAGCGGAAGATAGTATAAGTTCTCTTCTCTACAACCTGGTTTGTTTACGCCATTTTTCTCAACAGATTATACAAAATGTTAATATATACACCCTCCACTACGTTCCTATGCATCTACTTAAAGCATATATAAACAACTTATTAGATATACCATTGGTAACCAGCTCTTCGAACAGGGACTCCGTCGTCCTGTCGGGTGTCAGGTCCTTTTCCTTCTTCTTCTTGCTCTTTTTGCCTCCTCTCCTTCCTTTCTTCCCGGCCTTCTTGCCCTTCTTGCTCTTCCTCGACTTGTCCCTGTCCAGGGCCGCCTGGAGGGCTTCCAGCTCTATGCGCAGCTGATCGTCCACGATCTGAAACAATCTTCTATCAATGTTGGAACTATTATGGTGATAGTAAAACATGAGATATTTAGGGTATTGATGACCTAACTTGATCAACCAGTTTTCAATCCCGATTTTGAAAAATAGAACAATATAACATTAGATCAAATGTTCTAAAACTTATTTGATCCACGGACCCAACTCCAATTACAAGCATCTTAAGTCGTTATGTATTCGCAGGCATATCACGTCGTTATATAATTAGTTATTTTGAATGAATCATTTAAATAAAGTAAAAAAAAAAAAAAACTAAGGTGTGTGTGCTTTACACCACAGTATAAGTGAAAACATCCCATTTCGAATGGGATTTCTTGTGATTCGAGCAGCCACTGCATATGCCGTTCTCACAGTGCGGGGGTCGAGGTATCTGTCACATACAGATAGGATCTCATTATATCTATTTACAGTGAGGTACACGAACATACGGCTGATACCCAATGGTTTCAAAGTGTTGAAAACTTCTGACCTATATTTTCCAACTTTGTGTAAGGCGATCACAGCTATTCGATTTTCTTTATCACCTCACTTCATGTTAACTGAGCGAAAGAAAAATACAAACTAATTTGGATTATTATCCCGACATGTAAAGAAAATAACCTGATAGAGGTAAGGATTATATAAATAATACTCAAGGATGTAAACAAAAGTTCAACTTTTGTAACAGTATTTATGGCAGAACTAGGTACAAGTTAAAAAAAAATCCTACATTTTTCGCAATGATTTTCCCGTTTCTATTCTCAATTTACTGATCTAATATTCATTAATAATATTTTTATAAGCTGCCATTTCCACGTAACAAGATCCTACTTGTAGACTCCCATTTTTACTTTCACTTACGCATATATGTAATATATAGTAAGGGTAAGTATTACGATCGTGAAAATTTTTGAATCAGAGTTTTCAACGGAAATATACGTTTTGGGGTACCCTGAGTACAAATAACCAAATCCCGAAAAATGATCTGTGTTTCTGTGTGGGTGTGTGTATGTTAGCAGTCTACCGCAAAAACGAATAGTCGTACAGAACTGATTTTACATATTTAAGATAGGTATATGCCTCAGATGTGACAGCAACTTTTTCCTTAAAATTGGCTAACCGGAAGTACTACTTTATATCAACAATGAACCACAAAAATATAAAAATATTTCATAGATACGTTTATAACCTTAAATATATAAGAATTTACATTTATTTTTTCTAAAATGGTTTATTTATATTTTAACATTGTACATAGTTTTAAGAATCTTAGTATGGTTTCAAGAGTTTTTCATATAGATTTTTTTTTTTTTTTTTTGTATATAGTACGTATAACCAATATTTTTTTCTTTTCTTTTTTTTAATGACCTATCTTTATCTTAACTTTTTATGTTTGTTTTTATCTGGCCAGATATAAAATTTTAATTTCTGTACTTTTTTGTTATTCTGAAGGGACTTCGTCCCAGAATAAAATTATTTTTCTATTATATTTAAATATTTAGGTGTCTATCGTCCATTTATTCCGTAAAATCATCATGTAACCTTTTAGAAAATTAAATTAGCGAATAGTTTGATGAAATTTCCTTGTGTGATAATCCAACAGTATCCAATTACAATTAGTTTGACCTGTCATGACAAACAATGCAAATCTTTTAATTCCGTTTTAATAAACGTTGCAATGGAAAATAACGGTTTAATAACTAATAGTCGTACAATCCGTAATCAACGGATAGAACAATCCATAATCAACTATTCGTAGAATCCATAATCAATCGGTGGTATAATAAATAGGACTTTTGTTATTTTAATGGTATTTATTATTTGTTAGCTGCAACTTTTTAACTTTTTCTCAGTTAAAAATGCAATTCAAACATTTTATAATAACCCAACATGGGCAGAAAATTTAGTCCCTTATTATTTAACAATACCTTCCTCAGCTCGGACTCCACCTCTATTGACTTCTCCCTGCGGACCATGTCGATGTAGTAGTGCTGCCTGGGGTTGGTGGACTCGTCCAAGGGTCGCCATATCTCGTCGTACTCGGAGCACGAGACCATCAGCAGCGTCAGGAAGTTGGAGGGGGACATCCGGAAACCCGGGTCCTCCTCTTCTTCCTTCTTCTTCATCTCGTCCTCTTTGCCCTTTTTGGCTTTGCCTGCAACAACAGGACTCACATGATATGCCCTCGCTCCTAACCTACACCCTGACAAGATACTGACCTTTGCTGCCCCTCGAACTGGGGGCCGTCGACTTGGACCTGTCGGATTCAGCCTGCCCCGCTTGTCCCTTCAGGACGAGTGCGGAGCCCCCCGCCTCCTCGGAGGGTAGATCAGGGAACTTGCCCGTGGTCTGCTTGAACCCCATCAGCCAGGTCCGGATCTGGTCTGCCATCTCTTCCATCATCGCAGGGCCTTTGTCTCTCTTGATCTGGAAGAGCATCTCATCATTAGCGCTGTCATTATATCGATATAAATTTATATGGAATCGATTATATAAACCGTTTTACCTCCTCCCTTTCTCTGATCAAGGCCTCCTGATACTGCTCTTCGCGGCTCCTCTGTACTCCTCGCCTGTATTCCTGTACTTCGAGGGCTCTCTCCTGTTCCTCCGTCACAACGTGAGAACTCGGCAGCATTCCTGTTACAAGACATGACTACTTCAAACATTTTTACAATGAAGCGGTATAATTTTAACAAAAATATCGAAATGATGGATTCCTTGAACAGATTGGGCACATTGAAACAATCAACACCACTTTGAAAAAAAAAGAAGTGAATAAAAATTACATAGTGTCAGATCAATTAAAATATTCAATGACATGAAAATATATTTGAGATATAATGATCTGTAAAATATTATATTTGTGATTAAATGTACTACTCATAACATTAAAATCTGTACAAATAGTACGTTATCGATAAATTTAAATATAGAATAGAATAGAATAGAAAATTAAACTTTATTCTGGGACTAAGTCCCTTTAGAATAACAATGATGAGTTAATACAAAGTAAAGTACAAATCTGGCCGAAAACTTACTTCTAAAAATTTTAATATTATATACATTATTTAAAAAGTATTTAACCAGTAAAATATAAAAAATAAAATATATATACAAATGAACATAAAATCTTCTCAAAATTACTTAATTGTGATGAAAAAAAAAAAAAAGAAGAAAAATTACATATTTATATATACATAACACAATTTATAAACAATAGGCTATCTAATTGAAAACTAACTTAATACAAAATGAAATAATATCTACAGTGGTTTATATAATAATATGCAGACACTAAGATAAAATAAAGTCTTACGATACTTGTGGTGTAATCGAAAAAAAAATAACTAAAAGGAACTATTTATACGTACATTCTCATATTGGCACACATAAAGATAAAGATATACAATATGAACATATATACCCGAAAAAAAAAAAAAAAAAAAAAAGCACAATCTGAGGAGAAGAGAGAAATAAATAAATAGTAAAAATAATAGTCAAACTAGGTGACAAAGATCATTGCTGTTTTATGTTAAAACTTAAACAGTAGGCACCACTATTTACTTCACACAATATCGTATACACATAAATATACATGTACCCAACGACACAGTTTGTTTTGGTTCTTAACAGCCACACTCTGGGAGTTGATTCTAGACCTAATTAGCAACAAAAGATTTTATTTGTACTTTACTCACTCCAACCCTCAACAAAAGTTAACCAAAACTAGTGTCACTAGATAAACCAAGATTAAAATTTTTAAATGGCAAATAATAATTTAGGTAAAGAGAATTTAAGCATTCGGTCCCTTTATTTTCGATCATTACAAAATATAGTTGAATAATTTTTAATGGGGCATCAATTTTCCTGGTTTCATGACCAATACATGAGCCTTTCAGTTGCCAGAATGACTAACTTCAATTTCAACATTTCGAGTAATGTCATTTTAGTGATATTTCGAGTTGGAAAATTTATATCTGTTCAGACATTGGGTAAGTTGATTCTAGAGTAGGTGATTGTAGTGTTGAAATGTAGAACTGTGAATAATGGTATAAATTTTGCCAGTAGAAACATCACTAAAATTAGTAATAAAAAATCTGGCGTGTCCAGTCACACGACTTTTCTACCTATTTCAGAAAAGTTTTTATATCTTTACACATGTTCGTGATGAAACAAAAATGAATTGAACTAGATTTATTTTCCTGAAAATTGATCAAACAAAAGATTTGAGCACAATTTATTTGATAAACTAAAGTAATATAAACCGGCTTGAGGTACATCAGTGTAAAAATTTCAATACCCTCTAATATTGCTGATCAAAATCTTCTTGCCGTAGCTTAGTATTGTCAAACAATAATTTCTGTTCTAATTTCTGAGAAAATTTTGGCACAGACAGAGAGACAGAGCAATGACAAAAAATATGTTTTTCGGACTCAGTGGGCTCTGAAACGTATTGATTCGTCGAAAACCGCATATCGGAAATTTGACCCGATTGCAATACTTTCCTTACCTAGGTAGGAAAGTAATTAATTAAAACATGTGGAGAATGTAGAATAAGCTGTATCATCGCTATTACTGGTTCGATTTCGATGATTTTCTTTTTGTTTTGTTGGTAATTTAATTACCTTTCAAAAGTTTTATTATAAATTTTACCATATAATATGTATTTAGCGAGTTAGGCACCAAAACATTTTTTTTTCTTTATGACTTTTTTTCGGAAATTTTGTCCATGTACGAAAATTGAAAGGACAGTTATTAGAACATTATAGGAAATTTTCATCTAAATCGTTATAGCCGATTTCGCGTATTGTCTATAGAAAAACACGTTTTTAATTTATTGCGCACCAGCTATTGCGCATGGAGCACCCAATTTCTATCACAGGCATCAGTAGTCAAAACCCTACGAAATAAAAAAAGAAGCCACAAAATCGGTTCAGTAGTTTCCGAGAAAATCTTGGCACATACAGACAGACCAATGGCTAAAAGTGTGTTTTCCGGACTCAGGAGACTTTGAATCGTATATATCCGTCGAAAACCGCATATCGGAAATTTGTCCCGATCGCAATACTTTCCTAGCATAGTCCGAAGGACTATTAATACAAGAGTTTTATGATAAAGGGTTTATAGGTTGTTAAAAATTTAAATACAACATATCATTCGTATATATATATATATATCGAATCTTATATTACAAGATCTGAATTTATTGATTTTTATATTAAATAAAAATTTATATAAAATTAATTTTTATATAAATAAATTTTTTTATATCCTACGAATATATATATATATTCGTAAGATATAAAAATCAATAAATTCAGATCTTGTAATATAAGATCGAGGAGTGAGAAGATCCTCCATGTATTATTTTTAAATAATTTTTTATGCTAATCATTCTCCAATTTGATCACGCAATCCTCGTTAACGAACTTAAGACTACACGGTGTGCACGAGACGTAGTTTAAATATTCCATTTTCGGGTTCCCACGAGCTCTCACAGGTATTCAGAGCAAGAATTGCTTTATCTTAATTTCTGAAGATAGTGCCCTCTTGATTTCTTCTTATTCTAATCCTTGAGAACCAAAAAACTTCCTATAATAATCTCCCCCACCTACGTTCTTTTTTCCATCCATTTTTCAAATATAATATTGCTTTCTGCTGATTTTATAAAACCTCTGCATCAAACATCTGTTAGAATTTGTATTACCTCGTTTTGGAATTGGTTATGGGATGTCTTTAATTTTTATTCGCTGGTGGAGGTTATAACAAGAAAACCGCAAAATGTTTCCGATTTTTTCTTAATCCATGTTTGTGTTTCCAACTCCAAAAATTCATCTAAGAAATATCTTTCCTTTTTTTACTTAAATTTTTTTTTTTAATTTTAATGGAATTTACTACTGTATTACATAGAAAATACAATAAGTAAATGTTAAATTGGTAACATGACATGTACAACATGAAGAGAAACTACCCATTGGTAGAACTCAAATTAAAGTTCTATATTAGAAGGTCCCGAGGCCATCTTCTTTTCAGACGCCTTGGAGGGTTATCAGGGATCGAGGAGGAAGCAAGGTTTGAAACGAGAGGATTCGGATGGTTCTGCAGTTTGTTATGGAAGGACAGGTATCTGGATTGGGCCAAATCGGAAACATATGGAACATTAAGGTCTTTATGGACGGTTTTATTTGTGACAAAGTAAGAAGCATTGAGGATTTTACGAAGGATTTTGGATTGTAAGGATTGGATATGAGAGGAATTCGATGGTTTAGTGGATCCCCAAAGCTCAATTCCGTATGTCCAAATAGGTCTTACTATTGTCATATATATGAGTCGTTTATAATTGATTGAAAGCTTAGATCGTTTGTCTAGTAAGTGCTGCAGTAGTCGAAAACGTCGGGCGGTTTCTAGTCGTTTCAGTCTGGTATGGGGGGGTTCCAACTTTTAACTTGAATACAAGTATTTAATTTAAAATTAATTTAACAGATTTTATAAATGTATTTTCATAAAGTAGAACTGACAGACACTGGGAGTAACTGGTTACTTTCCTATCTATACTAGATTAGGAAGTGTTGCGATCAGGTGAAATTTCCGATATGCGGTTTTTGACGGATCTGCACGTTTCAGAAACCTTGAGTCCGAAAAATACATTTTTAACTATTGGTCTGTCTATCTGTGCCAAAATTTTCTCGGGAACTACTGAATATATTTTTTTTTTTTTAATTTTTTGGTTTTGACTCAAACTACTGAATTGAATCAAATCAAATGCTTTGCTTGAATCAAATTGAGTGCTCCCTGAGCAATATTGGCTACGCAATAATTGAAAAACATATTCTTCTATAGACTGTAGCACAAAACCGGCTCTTACGATTTTGAAGGGACTTTTCTATAATGTTCTGATAATTGTCCTTTCAATTTTTTTACAAGTACTAAATTCCTGACAAAATTCATAAAAAAAAGTTATAAAGAAAAAAAAAATGTTTTGGGGCCTAACTTGCTAAGTATATATTCTATGGTGAAATTTATAATAAAACTTTTGAAAGGTAATTAAACTAACAACAAACCAAAAAATAAAAATCATCGGAATCGAACTAGTATTAGCTCCCTGGGTCCCGAAAAACACATATATAGTGTTTTTTGGAAAGATAATATCAATAAAAATATGGAAGTACCTCAGGACGTCCACGCTCTATTAGTGGATTTCAAAGCAGCCTACGATTCTGTGGACAGTAAATCTTTTTTCTTTTTTTTCTAATGAGTGTATTAATCTCATTGTGAGCTTAAGCCAACTGATTATTATTGTTATCCATTTATCTACATGTAGCTTCCTACGTGGTTTCTTGCCAACTACTCAGCTATTGTCCCCCACCCATCTTAACCTCCTTGCATTCATGTCATAAAGTAGCCCATGTCTCTCACCACTACACTGAGTTAAGGTGGCTCTTCCCCTCCTTTAGAAGACAATATTTCCTGGGTACGTTCCTCTATCAAATTATTAACAACCATCGTCCTTCTTACGCCTACAACCTTCTCCAATTCAAGTCCTCAGTCCATTCCCTTTCAACAAGATCTCGACCTTCTGACCTCTACATCCCTTCGCACAGATCTGCCTCATTTCAGAATTCCTTTCTAGCTCGCGC